GCTGCTCGTTTTGATCATGTTAGGTAGTTATGGGAAGTAATTTTGCTACCCATTAATCTTTCCGTCCATTGATTTTAGTACAGAAATTCATTTTTTTGCTAATGTTTGTTTTGATTTGGTTTGTGGGAAAGTGAAGAGGACTACTATTTGGGATGTTGTTTTCCTTTAAGTTTTTACCAAGTCGAGGAATGGAACAAGTTCTAGGTTACTGTCACCTTACCCACCTGAGAAAGCAATGTAAGATTCCCACCCAATTTTATGCTAAAATATATGTAGGCATTAACATTCTTTGTTAATAGAAGGGTTCTCCATCCCCCCCTTACAGTGGTTATTATGGCTGTATTTTTGATACGTGATACCTAAGTGTATTTTAGTGTAAATGAACTCAGCAGATTGAATAATGAATACGCCTACCCTTACCTGTTACATCTTTTTTTTTCTTTTGTAGGTTGAGGTAATTGTCTTTTTGTAATTGGTTAAAGAATTAGAAGAATGCCAGAAGCTTTTCTGAGGGTGTACTTTTTCTATTTTTAAATTGTTTCTTACAACAATTTAATATTCACTAGTGCTTTTGGTTTTTAAACTACTTTGATTTCTTATCTGCTAACCACAGACCGGCAGTTTTTAAAAATTTTTATAGACTACAGTTGTGTTATCTTTGTATCTAAGTGTAATGACCATTTAGAGAGGCTCAAAACAGGATTTTCAAATGATGTTTTTGAGGTTTCATTGACAGGTCAGATTTCATTTGCTTTATCTCTGGAATAAATAAGTACATATTAACCCCATCTTACTGTAAAGATACCTAGACTTAGAGGGCAATTTCCTAGAGACTGCAGAACACATCAAAGAAACAGGACTAATACTAATAGTTCTTATTTTTATAGCATTTTAGAATCTTACCACCCTCCCGCCAGATCTTTGACATATTTTCAAATGTACTACTTCTAATCATTTTGCAAGGATTGGAGTACTCATACCTTTGTAGAAATTAAAAACTGAGGTCTAGAAGACCATGTAGCCAGGAATCAGATTTACAGGTCCCAGTCCATTGCTCATTGCATACATACAGTATACTGTATATATTTTGATTTAGTTTTTAAAAAGCACGCTGTACTTCAGTGTCTCAGACACATATTAGTTTGCTAAAAACAGTTTATAGCAGCTTAATTTTCCACTATAGATTAATGTCTCTTCCATTGTAGAGGACTGGAGTAAAAGAACGTTAGGAAAGAAAATATAATTGGCTGAATTTTGTTATAAGTAACCCTAATAGTTAACCCAATCAAAATTCGCTTCTGCCTGAGGTAAAACTGTTAAGCCTCTGCTGCCTTTTTAGTAAAGGTCAGGTGTTCTTGAGGGAAAAAGAACTTGGAGTCTAAGAGATGACTGACAGCTCAAATCTGGGTAAAAGTAAGTATATAATCAAGTGTCCTGTGATAGAATTAATAAGGAATTGAGAAAATGGAGCTGAGTAGTTTAGTGAGCTGGGGAAAGGGAAAGCTTTACCTAATATGTAAAACTCACATTGGATTTTATGGTTAGAGAATAGATTGGTTGTGTGGATATGACAATGCGGAGGTTGCTGGAGTAGTGAGAGGATAGATTTGACTCGATAGGCAGTCAGATAATGGAGGGTTTTTAATTCTAGATATAGGGATTTGGACTTAATCCGGTATGCAGTAAGAAATGTATGGATTCTTAATTCTGGGAGTGGCATAATGAAAGGAATTTTAGCAAAGAACAGAAGGACTGGTACAAGAAGAGCAGCAAGGCACACTTGAGCTATTTAAGGAAGGAAATTTGAAAACTCTGGTCTAAACAGGACAGCAGTGGGATGTAAAGAATGAATGAGACATTTTCAAGGGATCCAGGAGAAGAGGGGTACCATTAAAATAGTTTCATTAAAGCAGTTTGTTTGGGGCATGTATATCAATTTAACAGAAATATTTTAATTGGAAATTTGGAGCTGAGAATGAGGCTGGCACTTGAGCTATGAATTTGCTTGTCATCTTCATCAAAAGAGTTGGCTTCACACAGCTTCAACTAAAATTAGGATTTAGGCCTCAAAAAAATTGTAGTCTCCTTCATAGAAATTAAGGGAAATGGAAATTAAGCTTTTCTTACAATTTTACTTATTTTGTTCACCTTCTACCCCTAATTTATTTTTTTAACCAATTTTAGAAAAATGTTAAGCCCAATTTTTTCTCATACAGTGGCCCATTGTTTTTAATAGTGGTTAATGATTCTCATGTAGGGGTCCATCTTATAATTCCATAATTGTCTATGCTTTGTAGTACAGTTGAAGAAGAAAGATAATACTTGTCTTCTTTTCAGAGTTAATTCTGGCATCTTGAGTAGCTAGAATATTTTTAAAGGACTCCTAGTGTTCTCCTTCTTAATGTATTAGATGGTTTGACTGGATGACAGAAGTGAAAAGCAAAATACAAATTCTTCTGTACCCGTTTGGAATTAAAATGTGTGTTAAGATATTTTGTTAAAGAATAGCAGAAATGTGGGAAGCTTTTTTTCTTCCCTGAAACCTGATTTGTAATAATTGGGGTGATGATTGTGCCATTCAAGACCCATTTTGGTGACTGGCTTTAAAAAAAAAAAAACCTTAAACTTTGCTTTAAATTTTTCTGTTGATGAAACTTTAATAAAAGTGAGAGTACAAGTGAGGTTTACCCTCTCCCTTCCTTTAAAAAAAAAACAAAATCTTTAAAAAAATTAAATTAAAAAATACAAATAAAATAGAATCTCTCTTTTACAGGTAAGAATGTCAGGTCAACAATTTAGCTTTTCAAAATACTTAGTTTCTTCCGCAGTTTAATTTCATGTATCTCATCAACCTATTACAAAAGGATAAGACTTCCTTTCTCATGATACTGACAGTATTAAACCCAAGACAGCACTGTCTTGGGTTTAGTTTATTAAAGCTAAGTGCTGTCATTTATCCAGTTTTAATGCTTTTTTATTCCTCCTGTCATTTTTTTAAGCAAAGAATTTTTGTAAACTTAAGGAAATTTTTTTTTTTTTTTTTAGATTTTTATTTAATCTGACAGAGAGACACAGTGAAAGAGGGACCACAAGCAGGGGGAGAGGGAGAGGGAGAAGCAGGCTTCCAGCGGAGCAGGGAGCCTGACGCGGAGCTCGATCCCAGGACCCTGGGATCATGACTGAGCCTAAGTCAGACGCTTAATGACTGAGCCACCCAGGCTCCCCACTTAAGGAAACATTTTAATGCTCAAATTTTAATATTTGAGACTCTTTCACTGAAGGGTGCTAATTTGCTCAATTTAAGTAGAAGGTGGGATTTTTTTAAAGGAGCAGTATAACTAATTGTGCCCTCAGTGCACGGATTTGTCATAGATGCTTAATGGTTTGTGCCATTCCTAAAATGAGAATAAAAAGTCCTGATATTTGAAAGATTTCAGAGGGTTTTAAATATTTAGGAGAGTCGTAAAAACAAACAGATGAGTTTTGTTTATGGGTTTATTTTTGTAAATGAACTGAAGTTATTTACCTGTGGTATGTGTAGTGTAAACAAGTGTGAAATGGCCATGGATAATCAACATAATAATTTCCTAAAATCTTCCTGACAGTGTGAAAACCTTTTCTTTGATACTATCAGTGGGTGCTCAGGCATCAAATAATTAACCCTGGGACCTTTGTAAAAGGTATATATTTGCATGCCAAATGAGTTAATACGGATTATTTGTTCACCTGTGTAACAGATTTAGCAAGACAGAAGTGCAGGTGAGAAAATGATAATGATCAGATGGGGAAAAGAATCAGTAAACACTGTTTAAAAAAAAAGTTGAGAGGGGAATAATGAAAGGAAATGTGGTTTCCCTTCCCTCCTTTAGATTACTGTCAATATGTAGTTGTGTATAATCCTTATTATCTCATGATTTTCACCAAAAGTATAAGTGACTAGGGCTGCCTGACCAATCTGAGGTAGAAGTTATTTTTTTTAAACTAAGGTCCTGTAGTCTTTCTTACTCAAGATTCATAAATAGTCCCATGATATTAGAAGATGAGAACCTAAGTAGAAAATTCTGTAACAGGTTCTTAGTATTGTTTTTAGTTATTTATTGGCTTTTAATATGGCTAAACTTTTTGGACATTACAATTGATCATGACACACAAGCTGGCTGGTTTATGAACCATATTTAAAATTTATACAGAAGATTATATAAATTTTACAGGTAATTTCACAGTTGTGGATAGTTTAAATTTGATAATGTATGCATAAGTGCCAATTCCTATATAATTTCTTTAAGCATTTCCAGAATTATTCCAAACTTCAGAGAATGTAAAGACACAGTGTTAGAATCTGTGGGCCTTTGTAGATGGAAAGACTGCTTTAACCTCACTTAGAATGCAGCATGTAGGTATTTTCTTTTTTAAGGAATTGCTTTAATAGCAGTTACGGGTTAAGAAGAAGAGAGTGGAAGTACTTCTTTTTTAAGCTTGAGAGTCCAAGAGAAGCAGCCTATCATACTCAAGAACTGCTATTTATGTAGACTGAAATTAAAGAATTGGATAAACAAAAATTTCCCATAAGCCGCAAAGAATGAAGTTCTTAGTACAATAAATATAAGTTTTTGGAGTAATTTAAGTACCCCTCCCCCCTTGGGACATGAAATTTACCTAAATGCACTGATGTATTTTTATGGAAATCGACCTCCAACTTTCATAAAGTAGTGGGAAAATATATTTGAGAAAGTTTGTTTTAAAAGTTTATGCTATTACAGACTTGAATTTGTATAAACTTGGCACTATGACTTGGCACAGAATTTGCATTGCCATAATAGAATGGGTTACAGTTTAGCATTTTTATGTTATGTGTTTATTTTATTTTTTATTTTTTTTTAAGATTTTAGTTATTTATTCATGAGAGACAGAGGGGGAGAGAGAGAGAAGTAGAGGGAGAAGCAGGCTCCCAAGGAGCAGGGAGCCCGATGCGGGACTTGATCCCAGGACCCTGGGATCATGACCTGAGCCGAAGGCAGACGCTTAACCATCTGAGCCACCCAGGCGCCCTGTTATATGTTTATTTTAATGGGCTATAAGTACTAAGCTTATATTTGTTGTTGGAATTTTTTTCTTCTACCTATTATATGATACTAGCTATATTAAAAGATAAAAGACTGCAATTGCTTACTGTAGGAATTGTTCATGTTCTGCAACAATGTGCGCATATGTTTAATAACCCTTCGCCTTGATTGAAGGTGGTTGTTGTGGTTGTTTACAGTGTGTAAAATGGCAGTTTATTTTAACACATTGCTTGAATTGGATATACTATGGTACTTTCATAGTATTCATAGTTAGCTCTCTTATTTTTGGCTGTGTCCTTCAGCTTCCACCTGAGGTACCTTGATAATAAAGAATAGTTAAAAGAACAAAAACACACCGTTTAAGCAGGTTGTACTGTGAAAACTTTCTGCCTGGCCTCTGGTTTATAATAGGTAAGGTAGACTGGAAGCCTGTATGATTGCTCTTAAAAATGTGGATATAATTTGTTTGAGTCAATCTGCACATTTCAACTAGACAGCATATTTTTAAATGGTTGTTGGATCCACATGCAGGTTACTGAGGAATTTGCAGAATTTCTTGATGGGACAGCTTTAAGAGTAGGTTAAGTATAGGGTAGTGGAACAGGACAGATAACGCCCCTTCTCAGTATTTTATTTTTCTGTTTGCAATTTTCAATTCAGTTTCCAAATTCTGAATAGTTTTATGTGTGTCTTTGAAAAAAAAGTTGAAGTTATCATTTTGTAATGAAGACAAGTCAAAGGTAGAAAAGGATAATCTAGCATTTGTCCATAAAGGGCTTATTGTACCTTGATATCTAATGCACAGTTTAGTGAAAATGGTACTTGGTACTAGGTTTTGAAAAATGAAGTTACTTAAATATGGCAAATATTCACATGACCATTTTGTGTGCATGAAGACTTAACTACCAGTTCTTAGAATGGTGGGCCTTTTTTTTTGGTATTACAATAAAAATAATTCTGAAGAATTAAAAGTTTATTTTATGCTTTGTAGTTTATTCTTCAGGTTAAGTTTACTGACAGTTATTGATTAACCTTTTTGATGTCTCCAAATTGTTTTTGGAGGTTAAAATGGTAATAACAACTTTGTAACTAGGTGTTACAGGGGAGTTAAGAGGACTGTTTCTTTACCTTGAATGATTCCATGAAGAAATTTATGCAGATTCAGGTTTCTTTGGTATCAAAACTGAAGGATGGCAACAAAGGAGGTGTTAGGTATTTATGACACCTTAGATAATTAAAAAGCAAGACTTTTAAAAAAATAAATCCTAATATCTTTTGAAAAGATACTTTTGCATCTTAATGTTTTGTTACCAAACCAAAAGGAAATTTTCATTTTTCCAGTGAGTTGCTATGCCAGAACTGAAATTTAAACTTTAAAATTTAGGATGTTACTAAGTTGCCTTGTTTACATTAATTCCTAAGAAGTGGCAATTTTCAGCACTGTTGAACAATTTTCAGCTGTTTATAAGGGAAGACTTGGACATCGAGTGTACACATATTTGCACCATAATATTTTTATCATGTACTAGAAAGTAAGCATTTAAGAATAAATCTTGGATTTTAATATAAGACTGGGATTTCTATACTTAACAAAATTAAAGGTTTAACTGTCACAGAATGCAAAGCATTCTGAAATGTATGTATAACATGAACTATGGTGATATTCATAGATACTGTTCCATCAACTGCTGTTAAACAGTAGCATAAACAAATGTTATACCACGGGATCAATTTTATAGAAGGGAAAGCCAAGAGAGAGGGGAAGATACTCTTTTCAGCTTAATGAACCAGCCTGTGTGATTCTTCAGTTACAAGCAAATTAGCTATTACTTTTTTTACTGAATATGCTGCTTTTACAGTTTCAATGAATGAAAAAGCCTAAATTGCTGTGCCTGCTCTAGGCATTTGTCCAGGAATTTAGAGGGTATCAGAGATGTGGTGAAAGACTTATTGTAGGTAGCTAAATGGGAAAGGTTGATATTGAACAGAAAGGTAGCTGTATATTTCAGTTTTGTTTGCATCTGAAAAATAAATAGGCCTAGGCCTAGCAGCATTAGTACAGTTCTTGATAAATAAATCTGTTGGCATTAAACTGAAAGTAAAGGGAAAGTCTTAAGAAAGCTGTGTGGTAGGTAGTCTTGTGGCATAAATGAAAATCGGTGTGAAGTTGGGGTGATTAGTTACTCTAATAATCAAGGCTCGGATGGACAGAGAAACTGAACTGTCCGTCCTGCTTTGGTCATAAGTGCCTCATATATCTGTCAAATTTAAAAAAGTCTCTTAATCAGTTTTAAATCATTTGATTTGGAGAGTTCTGATTTATATCCGACTTTTTCAGAAGCCAGTTTTCTGTTACAGGATATAGTCACTGAAGGAAGTATATGTATGCAGAACTGCATAAAATATGCAAAACTATGAATAAATTGGTGGGATCAAAAAATAAAGACCCATGATACTAATTTTGTAACTTTTTGTACATTATACTTCATGGATAATATAGAATATTAAAATGGCATGGTTGCAAAATTACAAGTATTAGTAATTTACAAGCCAAAGGGGAAATTTTAAGAATTTCATGCCCTCTTTTCCCCTTAGTTTTTTCTTTATGTTGCTTTTACATTAGAACATATGTTTCTGATTAAGTTGGAATGTGCAAAGATAGTGGTCAAACATACTTGGGAGAAGATGTTAGTAATTTCACTAATTTAATTTTTTTACTTCTTTGAACCTCAGCATGTGTCCTGTAATATGTGAGTTTAGGTAGGTGTATACAAATTTCAGCCTAGAATGCTTTGCTTTAACTGTACGTTGGTATCTTAGCATGGCTTAATGAAAGCTTATTTTAAGATGACTAAGAATCTTCAAGTTATAAGCTAGGTTGGGGGGGCTACAGTTAGATTTATGTTGGGTGTTAAGTATTTATATTAAAATTGTTCACGTTTTAGGAACTAGGATGAAACATGAAAGGGGAGGAGGGTGAAGAATATGGTAAAAACATTTAGAGAAATTCAGTAAATTCTCTTTGTTAGAAGCTAGACTTTGGACAATTTTAAAGATTATAAAATTGTTTTTTAATAAACTAGTTATTTGCACTTTACCTGCTGGCTTTTCCATTTGGTAGATAACATTCTGAACTCCAGCAGAGTTTTATAAACCCCACGTGCTTAAATATACTAAATGTTCTTTTTCCATTAAGGTTAATGTTCGTGAAGAAATTGAAGAGTTTTTTCCAAGAATGTGGAAGATAAATCAAGATAAAAGAAGGCTAATGAAAAGTATTAAAGATCAGAAAATTAAAATTGAATGGGGGAAAAAATTGAACAGAAGATTGGTCAGATAGAAGCACTTGAATATTTTTTTTAAGGCTATTTTGAATTGTTTGAATTGGGGAAGAATACACGAAGTATGAAAAATGAAAAACTCAATGAAGAATGAAGAGAAGTAGAAAGCAAGAGTGAAGTAGAATTAAAAGAATCTGGAAGAATGAATGGGTCCTAGGTTAAGTAAATGTATGGTTTATGTTCCAGTGTCTGTATGATCAAGTTGTAGATGAATTTGCATGATTTCTTAGTTAATAGAGAATTGGTGATCTGGTTCAAGTAGGGAATTATTGAGGACAGTTAGCAGTATTAACAATGGGTTATTAATGAGCTGAAATTTTTTTCTGGAGGGTGTTGCCTAACCATTTGTTTTTCAGGAGCAATCAATATAAATAATTACGGTACTTTAAATGTTAGGTGTTAGGCATCTATGTGACCAGTGCCATTTGTAATACTGTCTTCTTTGTTAGGAGTCTCGCTCTCAGTCAAAATCTCCAACGGGAACTCCTGCTCGTGTAAAATCGGAGAGCAGGTCAGGATCTCGTAGTCCATCAAGGGTTTCCAAACACTCAGAATCCCATTCTCGATCAAGATCAAAATCCAGGTAAGTATGCTTAAAATAATACTTAAAATGCGATTTTTCAGAGCAAGGTGGTTTTTACCAAGTCCTTCATTTTTGCTGCATTTTGTATAGAAATTTCACAAAATCATGAAGTTTTTCTCAAATGGGGGAGTTAGAAATGAATGTTCTTGGGGCACCTGGATGGCTCAGTCAATTAAGCATCCAACTCTGGGTTTCAGCTCAGGTCATGATCTCATAGTCTTAAGATTGAGCCCTGCATCAGGCTCTGCCCGCAGGAGGGAGTCTGGTTCTCTTCCTCTCCCACTCATGCTTGCCTGTGTGCACTCTCTTTCTCCCCCCCTCTAAAATAAATAAATGAATCTTTAAAAAAAAATGAACGTTCTAGATAAAGATTTGATTTTCTAGATAAAGATTTAGATAAGGCAAAGTCGAGTCATCTCTTAGCCCAGTTAACCTATCTAAGCTAGCTATTAATATAAATTAAATGTGTTGATTGATTTAAATGTACTTGGCAATGGGGATTGGAGTTTGGTTTTATTTATTTGTTCAACAAAAATGTAATTTTCTCCGTTGGAGACTTGGCATGTAATTTAGTGCAGAGAAGGTTGATGTATCTATGTTGTACTAATTATCGGAATGATTTGAGAAGATTTTTCAAGATTGACATTCCAGCTACATCCTTTACCTGAAGATTGTGACTCAGTAGGTTCAGGGTGGAACTCTGGCCAGATATATATAGTTGGGGCAGGGAGTGGGGGAGTCTCTGGATGATTGAGAAGCCCCTGCCAGTATCATCTCTACTGACAACAAAAACACTAGTGAACCACTACAAAGTTCACTGTACCAGGTGCAGGGGTGGGTGAAAGAAAGTTTAAAAACAACTTGGACAGGTAATTCAATTAAGTCATAATTTCTTGATTAGAGACATAATTTGTTCTTGTATAGAGTTTACTTGCCAGTGGAGCATGAGACCGAAGAATTGGTTAAAGGGCTGTACTTTTCTTGAGTCCACAGCTGTGTCTTTATCGTATCCAGGATCCAACTTGATTTACTAACCACTCTAATTAAATCTACATGTGCAGAGTAGCACTGTGTAGAATTTGGGTGTACAGACAGAAATGAGCATATTTTCATTTTAGGATCTTTGCATTTGCTGCTCTCAGCCTAGAATTCTCTTCTCTCAGATACTCAGTTACTTGATTTATTCTCTGCCTAAGCGTCACCTGAGAATATTTTATTCCCTTACTCTTAATTTTTTTTTTTTACGATTTTATTTATTTATTTGACAGAGACACAGCGAGAGAGGGAACACAAGCAGGGGGAGTGGGAGAGGGAGAAGCAGGCTTCCCGCCGAGCAGGGAACCTGATGTGGGGCTTGATCCCAGGACCCTGGGACCATGACCTGAGCTGAAGGCAGATGCTTAATGACTGAACCACCCAGGCGCCCCTCCCTTTACTCTTAATTTTTTTTCATAAGACTTGACACTATCTGATTTAGAGGAAAGTTAGGCACTCTTGAAGGGTTTTTAATTAATCTCATTTTTCATTACTATTTAAAAATAACAATTGATGGGGCGCCTGGGTGGCTCAGTCAGTTAAGTGTCTTCCTGCAGCTCAGATCATGATCCAAGGGCCTGGAATCAAGCCCCACATCAGGCTCCCTGCTCTGCAGGAAGCCTGCTTCTCCCTCTCTCACTCTCCCGCTTGTGTTCCCTCTCTTGCTGTGTCTCTGTCAAATAAATAAATAAAATCTTAAAAAAAAAACAATCTTTAAAAAAATAACGACATGTTAAATGACAGGTTTTCTTATTAATGTTTATCTTTTATATTGAGGCTATAAATTAGTGCTAAGGAAAATGGAAAGTATCTAAAAGTATCCTAAATCTGCTAGGAACCACATCTCCATGTCTTGCCAAGGAACCTTTGTTCTTGCTAGTCCTAAAACACTTTTCCCCTGTCTACCTAGTAAAATTTATGTCTCCTAGGTTTATTGTTAACCTTCTTTGTTTTGAATAATCTTCCCTCATTAGTTTGATTCCCTTCACCCATGGCACTGTCTTTTTAAACTTTCTGGCCCTTAGCGTGTATAACATTTATTGAACATTCAAGTTATTTTGTAAGACTGTGATCATTACTAGGGTGCCTGGGTGGCTCGATTGGTTAAGCATCCAACTCTTGTTTTTTTTAATATTCTGTTTATTCATTCGAGACACAGATACAGCATGAGCAGGGGGAGAGGCAGAGGGAGAAGCAGGCTCCCTGCTGAGCCAGGAACCGGACGTAGGGCTCGATCCCAGGACCCTGGGATCATGACCCGAGCTGAAGGCAGAAGCTTAACCATCTGAGCCACCCAGGTGCCCCAGCATCCAACTCTTGATCTCAGAGTCGTGAGTTCAAGCCCCATGTTAAAAAAAAAAAAAAAGACTGATCACTTCTGATCTGGGTGTTTATTAAGGATGGGTCACATGAATAGTAAATAAATTGTTGCATTAAGGGGCGCTTGGGTGGCTCAGTCGTTAAGCGTCTGCCTTCAGCTCAGGTCATGGTCTCAGGGTCCTGGGATAGAGCCCCACGTTGGGCTCTCCACTCAGAGAGCCCACCTCTCCTTCTGCTCTTCTCTCTCTCTCAAATAAATAAAATCTTTAAAAAAAAAAAAAAAGAAAGAAATTGTTGCATTCAGTGGCAAAGAGAATCAGAGTGACTGGAAATAAGAGATAGATGACCTAGGGAATCAGCAGTGGAGGATGGGTGAGGTACTGTGGGAAGCTTGAATAAATGAAGACTATTACTTGGGCATTTAGGTTGAATTAGTTTAGCAGATGCTAGATTGCAGTGGGCTAAAGAAAGATTAGAAGGGAAATGGTATTTAATAGTGAAGGGAATATAGAACTATATTGAGAAGATGGTAAGAATTAAAGGATTTTACTGTGGTGGTAATGGTAGTTGGTGGTTTGTGTTGTCTTTGTTGTGGTAAGATACACATAAAATTTACAATTTTAATCATTTTTAAGTGTACGGTTCACTGGTAGTAAATACATTCACATTGTGCAGCCATCATCACCATCTGTCCCCAGAGCTGTTTTCATCTTGTAAAACTGAAACTCTATACTCATTAAAACAGTGGCTCCTTGTTTTCCCCTCCTCCCAGCCTCTGGCAACCATTTTACTCTCTGTATCATTTTGACTACCCTAGGAACCTTGTATAGGTGTAATCACAGTATTTGTCTTTTTGGAGACTGACTTGTTTCACTTAACAAAATGTCTTCAAGTTTCATCCGTGTTGCAGAATATTACAGCATTTCTTTAGTGCTAGTTTGTTTTTTCTTTTTAAAGAAGGTAGAATTGTAACATGCTTGTAAAGTGAAAAGAGAATAGAAGGGATAGACTGAGAACATGATTGTAGTGATTAAGAGAACAAGAGGAAGAATATTCTTTCCTCAGAAGGGAACTGGGATACATGTATATAGATCCTTGGCATTAGCCATCTTGTTTCAGTATTTTTACCTAAATGTATTTCTCTCAAAGGTCGAGGTCGAGGAGGCATTCTCATAGACGTTACACTCGATCCAGATCCCATTCTCACTCTCATAGGAGACGATCTCGAAGTAGGTCATATACACCAGAATACCGGCGTCGAAGAAGCCGAAGTCATTCTCCAATGTCTAACCGGAGAAGACATACAGGCAGCAGGGTATGTGGTTTTTGAAAATTAATGAAAACTTATTTTGTCTTTATGTGTTTAGTCATAGCATAGTATCTTGCTTTCATGAGACTAGACCATTGTTTTAAAGTGGTACTCCAGGGGCACCTGGCTGGCTCAGTCAGTGGAGCATGTGACTCTTGATCTCAGGGTTGTGTGTTCAAGCCCCTCATTGGTGTAGAGATTACTTAGGAAATAAAAAATAAAGTGGTACTCCAGAAACATCCTTAAGCATATGAATATTGTTTATATACATTTAAATGTATTTTCTTGACTTTGAGTAGTTAAAAAAAGGGATGAAATTTGGGGGGAAAATACATGTTCTAAGAATTAAAATGAAAAGTATAAACTGAGTTGAGAATATTGAGAAGAAAAAGTTTTGGTGGGGATTGGGGGAAGCTGGCAAAGAAATAACGTATAATAATAACAGCTAACACATATTGAGCACTGTGCAGCTTTTCAATACATTTAATGGATAAGAGTCTTGGATATGTGACACTGAGGTTTGGATTTTGGCTAACTGGCAGAGCCCAGGTTTCAGCCAGGCTGCTTGACTCTTAAAGTTCCTGTGCTTAACTGCTGTGCTGTGTTGTGCTTTTCCCCCATGTGATACTGAATTATTTAACTGTGATGGAGTCTGCTATTTAATGATGTTTTGGAATCTGTACATAGATTTTCAAATCTGGATAGTGGGAAATTTGAAGGAAATACCCTTGGTAAGAATGAAAATGGAGGAAAGTCTAATCAGCAATTATAGATAAGTCATTTTAAGTACAAATCTGTAAGCTAGAAAACATTTGAATAAATCACAAATACGGCTTTAAACTACGGTAGATTCTTAGTATACATTCTTACAATTGCTGGACTAGAGGGGCGCCTGAGTGGCTCAGATGGTTAAGTGTCTGCCTTCGGCTCAGGTCATGATCCCAGGGTCCTGGGATCGAGTCCCGCATCGGGCTCCCTGCTCCTTGGGAGCCTGCTTCTCCCTCTGCTTCTCTGTCTTTCTCTCCCTCTCTCTCTCCCTCTGTCTCTCATGAATAAATAAATAAAATCTGTAAGAAAAAAAAAATTGCTGGACTAGAAAGTAGGGATGTTTTTATTCGGGCTACAATGGAAGTATACTCCAAAGAAGGCCTGAGTGTACTGTGAACTGTAAAATACAGCTCATCTGGCTTTTTTCCTCTTAAATTCTTCTTTCCCAAGTGACTTGAAACAGTATAGTCTCTGTGTATTAGATGAAGTATTTTAAGCAAAGTATTTCTGTGTGTACTTTTATTTCAGTTTGGAGCTTGAAATTAAATCACATCTTTATTCAACAGGCAAATCCAGATCCCAACACTTGTCTTGGAGTGTTTGGCCTCAGTTTATACACAACTGAGAGAGATCTTCGTGAAGTATTTTCTCGATACGGACCATTGAGTGGTGTCAATGTGGTTTATGATCAGCGAACTGGACGATCACGAGGATTTGCTTTTGTTTATTTTGAAAGAATAGATGACTCAAAGGAGGTAATTTTGTTTTTATAATTATTTTTCAATATGAAATTTTTCTGATGTGCGTGATTATGTGCTAAAAGTTGACTAATAGTCTCCCAGTTCCATAAGCTGTTGTCTTTCATTCCCTAACCTGAGTTTGGTTCAAACTCTCTCTTCCTTTCAGGGGCACCTGGGTGGCTCAGTCAGTTAAGCATCTGCCTTTGGCTCAGTTCATGATCCCAGGGTCCTGGGATCGAGCCCCATGTCAGGTGCCTTGCTCAGTGGGGAGCCTGCTTCTCCCTCTCCCTGCCACTCCCCCTGCTTGTGCGTGCTCTTTTTCTCTCTGTCAAATAAATAAAATCTTTTTTTTTTTAAGATTTTATTTATTTGAGAGAGAGATTGTGAAAGAGAGCAGGAACAGGGAGGAGAGGAAGAAGCAGGCTCTCCGCTGAGCAGGGAGCCTGACATGGGGCTCGATCCCAGGACCCTGAGATCATGACCTGAGCTGAAGGCAGATGCTTAACCGACTAAGCCACCGAGGCACCCCTAAATAAAATTTAAAAAAACAACAGACAACTCTTCTTTCATTGTTACAATTGGAAATTGCCAGTTCACTTTCCAGCTAATATTTTCTGGTGTAGGCATATCCTGATTGAAATCTGGCTTTGTAAAGTGAAGTATGTGTGTTTGAGTTAATGGAAAAAGTAATAAGTATATAAATGTTCTCTTTTGACTTAATGTTACTCATATTCTAAGCAGATGATTAAACTAACTTTTTAGAAATTACATGATACTTTGCGGCTCCCACCTGACTCAGTTGGAGTATGTTCCTCTTGATCTCAGGGTTGTGAGTTCAAGCCCCATATTGGGTGTACAGATTACTTAAAAATAAAATTAAAAAGAAATTATGTTCTTTAAGCTATTAGTTTAATTTTGTGTGGAATTAGCTTCCCATGTATAGTTACAGAGCTTTGTTTTTCTATTTTCATATTCATCTGTCATTCTGTTCTATAATTAAAATATAATGCATAGAATTGGTTTTTTTTTTTTCTTTTCCGTAAGATTTTATTTGAGAGCATGGGACAGGGTAAGGGGAGAAAGAGAGAGAATCTCAAGCAGACTCTGTGCTGAGCCCCACGTGGGGCTCCATATCACAACCCTGAGATTGTGACCTGAGCCAAAATCAAGAGTCGGACACTTAACCGACCAAGCTACCCAAACGCCCCTGAAGCTGTGCTACTCTAATGTATTAGATACTGGATTATATAAAGGGAGCAGTAGGCTTGCTTTCTCTATACTAATAGTTCATAGTGATTGGGTTAGAAAATTCCATTTAAGGAATTTGAAGCCCATTGTTAAAGTTTTATCAAACCCTTTTGGGGGCACTGGGTGGCTCAGTTGGTTAAATAGTCTTGATCTCAGCTCAGGTCTTGATCTCAGGGTCATGAATTCAAGCCCCATATTGGGTCTCCACTACTTTAAGAAGTAAGTGTTGTTGTTTTAATCAAACCTTAATAAATGGCGGGGTACCTGGCTGGCTCAGTTGGTAGAGCATGCAACTCTTGATTTCAGGGTCATGAGTTAGACCCCCCACATTGGGTGCAGAGCTTACTTAAAAAAAAAGACAAAAACAATAAATGGCAAATGTATTATTTTACATGTGATAATAGTTGGACACAGGTCATTGCTATATGCATCAACAGCATTTGATTGCAACATAAACAGTCATAATAAAAGTTAGATGCTATCTGGGGCACCTGGGTGGCTCAGTTGTTAAGCTTCTGCCTTCAGCTCAGGTCATGATCCTGCTCAGCAGGGGAGTCGGCTTCTCCCTCTCCCTCTGCTCGTGTGCTCTCTCTTGCTCACTCACTCTCTCTCAAATAAAATCTTAAAAAAAAAAAAAGAATGAATAAATAAAGTTAGCATATCTTTCAAAATTGGTAGATGCTAGTGGCATTTAGTGGATGGAGGCCAGGAATGATGCCAAACCTCTTACAATGCACAGGATAGCCACCCACAATATAGAACTAGCAGTCCAGAAATATCAATAGTATGGAGGTTGAAAAACCCCAGATAATTCTAACAAAATAACACTCCAGGTTGTAAGTCATTTATGTAATAGACATTCTAATCAGCATTCTCTAATTTTATTTATTTATTCATTTGCGAGAGAGAGAGAGAGCGCGAGAGAGTGAGCAGGCATGAGCTGGTGGGCAGAGGGAGAGAGAAAATCTTAAGTAGACTCCATGCCCAGGGCAGAGCCCAATGTGGGGCTTGATCTCACAACCCCGAGATCATGACCTGAGTCAAAATCAAGGGTTGGGGTACTCAACCCACTGAGCCACCCAGGTGCCCCTTTAATGTTTCGATGTCAGATATTATTATGACTCTTTTTTTGGTTACACATTTGTGATTTGTTTATTTCTGTTCTCGAGACAAAGGTATAAATTTAAAAAATACTAAGATATCTGACCTTAAGTAAAAGTTGTGAAGTATAAAATAATACCACAATTAAGATTCTTTTTTAATATGAAATTTGTCCTAGGTTTGATTCCTCCCGTAACCACCCTGCCAGGGTTATTTCTTTTTTTTATAAAATAAAATGAAAGTGGCAGTTTTACTTTAGTTCCATGGAACTTGCAAATTTGGAAAAGTAGTTGGAATTACTATCCCATTTATTGGTATTAGTGCTGAGGGGCAGAGTGATAGGGAATGTGAATGCAGATACAAAGACAGGAGCATTTGTTGGCAGGTTTAGAAGTTCTTTTATATTTGGAGTTCACTAGGTGGCGGTGTGTTACCTAAGGAATGGTTTTTGGCTAACCTAGACTTGTCAGCTGAATTGCAATTTCTGCTTGGAGTTGCCTAGACTGGAGTTGCCCAGCTTGTATAGTTCTTTCTCAGTATCTGCCCCCAGTCTTCCTTCCGGCAGATGTGTACATAAGAAAACTCAGGGCCATTGACATGCATATAGCAAGGATTCATATGTAAAATCCTGGCCCCTGTTGTTTGGGAAAGAAGTTTAGAGACTTTTAATTTAAATTTCAAATGGAAAAGTGTTAAATTTGTTGCAGTTTTAGTAGTTTCTCATTAGTGAATTATGCGTGACTTTCTGTGCCTCTTCTCCTTTAAAGGCTATGGAAAGGGCAAATGGAATGGAGCTGGATGGTAGAAGAATTCGAGTGGATTATTCTATTACCAAGAGAGCTCACACACCTACACCCGGAATCTACATGGGCAGACCAACTCAGTAAGATTTCAAGTTTTTTAAGCTAAACTAAGAGCCAGAAATTCACCAGAAATGTATGCAAACTTTGGATTAATCAAAAGATAAAATGATTTTTTTTCCTGTAATTAGATTTGAAAGTTATTTGTGTATATTCTTATATCTGTTTGCGGAGAGGGACAAATTAAAACCATCAAAGTCATTCCTGGCTCTTGGTGCCGTACAAATAAAAAAAGTATTAAATACTAGAAAAATAGTGTATGCTTTTAAGTTTTCTCTCTTTTTTTTTAAGATTTTATTTATTTATTTGACAGAGGCACAGCGAGAGAGGGAACACAAGCAGGAGGAGTGGGAGAGGGAGAAGCAGGGCTTCCCGCCGATCAGGGAGCCCGATGCGGGGCTCGATCCCAGGACCCTGGGATCATGACCTGAGCTGAAGGCAGACGCTTAATGACTGAGCCACCCAGGCACCCTTTAAGTATTCTCTTTCTATTCTTATGTGACTTCGGGAGCCTTGTGGATAGGGAAGAATTTTACTGATACTGGTGTGTATTTTTTTTTAAGCCAGTTTTCACATCATACAGAAATAGAGGCTTTTATAAATGTTTTTTGTTTTTTTTCTAAATATAAAACAACTGAAGAACGTATTTCTTAAAAGTGAAGAAGGAAGGGCACCTGGGTGGCTCAGTCATTGGAGGTGTCTGCCTCCGGCTCAGGTCATGATCCCAGGGTTCTGGAATCGTGCCCCATGTCAGGCTCCCTGCTCGTTGGGGAGTCTGCTTCTCCCTCTCCCACTCCCCCTGCTTGTGTTCCCTCTCAAGCTGTGTCTCTCTGTCAAATAAATAAAATCTTAAAAAAAAAAGTGAAAGAGGAATATAAGTAAGCTTTCAATTACTTTGAAACCTTACTGGGGAAAATGTAGGGTTTGGTAAGGAAAGCCTACAAAAAAAACTAAAATGAAAATAGTGTCCCTGTGATTAGGAGTTGGGAAAAACTACAGGAGAAAGTACTCAGAGTTTAAATTTACTGCCAAAGATTTAAAAGCCAGACCTTGAAATTATTTTAGGGCCAGACCTCAGCGTAAGGTAGTTAATTCTTTCTGCTGTTCAGGGTCAGTTAACGTTTTTAAATTCTTGATGTTTATTAATTGCTTTTGAATTAGTCATAAGGACTTACATCTTAGCATTTTGGTGCTGTTTCCCAGCACAGTACTTCATTTCAGCTTGTTGAAAAGAAAAGGTCCTGCTGATTTGGGTTGTGTATTAATAAAAGAACAGTTTATAGGTTGAGAGTTTTGTGAAACTATTCACGGTTATTTATGTAACAGATAGGAAACCAAAGCAAAATAATACCATGGGAGTCAGCAAAGTGAGAGACATGGCAGTCACTGACATGAAAAGGGTTGTTCTTTCTCCCTTATCTTCCCACCTCCCTCCATTTTAGTTAAGTACCAATTGGTATTAAATGATACTGGAAAATCTCATTGATGTAAAATTTTTACATTCTTCTATAGTAGTGGTGGTGGTGGAGGTGGAGGCGGTGGTGGAGGTGGAGGCGGTGGCCGGCGTCGAGATTCTTACTATGATAGAGGATATGATCGTGGGTATGACAGATATGAAGACTATGATTACCGGTACAGGTAATGTTTTAATTGGTAATTTCTGTTCTAAATTAAATGATGGTTGTATTATTTGGCACTTCTAATTTATGTTTCATACATATTAATAAAAATACTTAAAATAGATGATGGTTTCTTAAGAAAGTAGAGGGAGATGATTTTCTCAAGATTGAGAACAAAGGTTAATTATCTGTATTTGCCAGTATTTTGTTGTACCCATATGCTTGCTGTTCTAGTATTAATTGGCACACAGAGAATGTAATAGTATTTGAATGATGGAGAATTTTTATTTTCACTTGCTTCAATGGAGTGATTATGTGGTATGCTAAGTAATCTTTTATTTCCTACAGAAGAAGATCACCTTCTCCTTACTATAGTCGGTACAGGTCACGATCGAGATCTCGTTCCTACAGCCCAAGTATGTATACTTTTACTTTTGTAGCATTAAGAACCTTTCCTAATTAGTGGTTTATTTTAGAAAATTAGGGTATATGGAGATTGATAGTTGGACAAATAATAGGCAAGTCAAACTATAATTGTCATTTTTGACTTTTGTTTTTTTTGCTCTCTTTCAGGACGCTATTGATATACAGAATGGTTGCAGATGAGGACATCTTTTTCTGTGTGTGTGTGTGTGTGTGTGTGTGTGTGTGTGTGTGTGTTGATTTGGGGTTTGTTTGTTTTGGTTTGGTTTTGGTTTGGTTTTTGTTTAATTCTGGATTTCCCCAAGCTTCTAATCCTTCTTACTTCTTAAAAAGAACCCTTAAAAAAAACTTCGTTTATTCACCATCTACACTATGTCAGTTGTATTGCTGTTTCCACCCCTTTTAGTATGCTCTTAAAGATGTAATTGTTGTCATTTGAGTAGTTAAACATCTTAAGTAAAAAAAGGAACTCCCAGTGTTAGGCTTTGTAAATGATTTTTTTCTTTTTTTTTTTTTTTTTTTACTTTTTTTCTTTTTTTGCTTTGTTTTTACAGAAAATTAACTCCTGGCTAATCAAATGAGAAAAGAAATGATCTTTTTAAAGCTTTTGTGTTAAATATTAGATATTGTACTAGAGACCTCCATTTACAACAAACTCCTTTTTTAACTTTCTTTTGGGGAAGGTAGTAACACATAAAGTAGTTCAGTCATGTCAAGTTTGTCTGGGGTGGCATGGAGCAGTCAAATAGTTGGGTGTAGAAAATTTGAAGCTATAGAAGAAAACACTTGGTCATTTCTTTTGAAGAACGAAATTTTTGAACCCTAAAAATTACGTCATTTTTTTAGAGATGAAAAGCTTGTGGACTCCTACAAAATATGTTGTATTTAAAATACATCTGTTAAAACTTACAGTGTGATTTTTGTGTTGAATTTATTGAAATTTAAGTATTCCCTTAATCAGTGAAGGACAACTCTTATTTATTACTTAGAGCAATTATATACTTTCCTGTTAGAAATTTTGCTGTTGGGACAATGGTTAAGCAGGCTGTTATTGTATAGTATAGAGTCCTTAGAAGATACGTGTGAGGAAAAGTAGTCTCAAATAAAAGTTAATTTCTTTGAAAATGGGATTGTCTCTTTATTATGGTAGAATGGGAAAAAATATATAACTGGATTGATTTGGGAACCCGTCCTTTTCCTGACATTTTTACTTATACCCGATAGTATAATTGTTTTTCTTCCTCTTTAAAAATCCTTGTTTTGAGGCACCTGGGTGACTCATTTGGTTGTGTACCTGCCTTTGGCTTGGGCCCTGATCCCAGGGTGCTGGGTTTGAGCCCTGTCCACATCAGGCTCCCTGATCATTGGGGAGTCTTCTCCCTCTCCTTCTGCCCCTCTCCGCTGCTCATGTTCTCTCTCTCTCTCTCTCAAATAAAGTCTTAAAAAAAATAATCATTTTTCGTCCCTTTTCTTTTTTCGTTTCTTTTTTTTAAGATTCATTCGAGAGAGAGAGCACAAGCAGGGGGAGTGGCAGGGAGAGGGAGAAGCAGGCTCCCCGCCGAGCAGAGAGCCCGGCACAGGGCTTGATTCCAGGGTCCTGGGATCATGACCCGAGCTGAAGGCAGATGCTCAACCACTGAGCCACCCAGGCGCCCCTTTCCCTCCCTTTTTCTGTCATCTTAGTTTTCGATATTGGGAATGTTCGGGTACCAAGCACTGTGGTGAAGGAAAGATAAATAATAAGAGTTTATGTCTTGGGCGCCTGGGTGGCTCAGTTGGTTAAGCGACTGCCTTCAGCTCAGGTCATGATCCTGGAGTCCCGGGATCAAGTCCCACATCGGGCTCCCTGCTCAGGGAGTCTGCTTCTCCCTCTGACCCTCTTCCCTCTCGTGCTCTCTATCTCTCATTCTCTCTCTCTCAAATAAATAAATAAAAAATCTTTAAAAAAAAAAAAGAGTTTATGTCTTTAAGAAGCCCACACTCTAATAGAAAACATACTCAGACAACTCTAATGTAAGGTGAGGTTGCTTTAGTAAAGAGGTGGATTATCTTTCGGGTGACTTCTATAAAAAGGTGTAGGAGTGAGAGCTCCTTTGTTTTCTTCCTCAAAGCAATGGGGATAGAATTAAATTATTATAATTTATGTAATACACTGATGGGATCTATGAGATTGAAGTGCCTCAGGTATCTTTGTTTTTTACTTATTTTTAAAGATACTTATTTAGAGAGTGGGGTGAGGGGCAAAGGGAGAGAGAGGAGAGAATCTCAAGCAGACTACTCACTGATGGCTCAGTTTCACGAGCCTGAGATCATGACCTGAGCCAAAATCAAGAGTCAGACGCTTAACCAACTGAGCTACCCAGGCACCCCATATTTTTTATTTTTATTTTTTAAAGATTTTACTTCTGGGGCACCTGGGTGGCTCAGCCAGTTAAGCGTCTCCCTTTGGCTCAGGTCATGATCCCAGGGTCTTGGGATCAGGGCTTGGGCTCCGTGCTCAGTGGGGAACCTGCTTCTCCCTCTGTCACTCCTCCTGCTTGTGTGCTCTCTGTCAAATAAAATCTTTAAAAAAGTAAAAACCTGGGGCGCCTGGGTGGCTCAGGTCATGATCCCAGGGTCCCGAGGTCGAGCCCTACATCGGGCTCCCTGCTCGGCGGGAAGCCTGCTTCTCCCTCTCCCACTCCCCCTGCTTGTGTTCTGCTCTGGCTGTCTGCTATCTCTCTGTGTCAAATAAAATCTTAAAAATTAAAAAATAAAAACCTTAATGATATATCAATAAATAGAAAAATACAGAACAAATTAAGATAATCTGAATCATCCTAATATAAAAAGGGAGAGAGCCTTGTAGGTACCTGGAGGAACATGTTAAATACAGAGAACAGCAAATACAATGGCCTTAAGGCACCAGAATACCTGAAATGGCGAAGACAGGAGGCCTGAGAGGACAGATCAGATCGAAGGGCTGGATGTTATGGGGAGAGGAGGTTGGGAGGTATGGCTTCAACAGTTAAGAGGTAAATTCCTTTATAGAAAGGGGGAACTGCGGGGCGCCTGGGTGGCTCAGTCGCTACAGGTCATGGTCCCAGTGTCCTGGGATCAAGCCCCGCATCAGGCTCCCTGCTCTGCGGGAAGCCTGCTTCTCCCTCTCCCACTCCCCCTGCTTGTGTTCTCTCTGTCAAATAGATAAATAGAAAGGTAAGATGAGAAATATACCACCGATGGGAGTCATGAATATAGAAAACAAGAAAACTTAACTTCCAAGAAAGCAAATACACGCAAGTGGAATAACAAGCTTTGCCACTTTAACCTCCCACCAACAGTATATGAGAGGGAGATCTTTTCTTGAAACAAAAAGTGTTAAGATCTTGGGGCACCTGGGTGGCCTTCGGCTCAGGTCATGATCCCAGGGTCCTGGGATCGAGCTCCGCCTCGGGCTCCCTGCTCCCTGGCAGGCGTACTTCTCCCTCTCCCACTCCCACTGCTTGTGTTCCCTCTCTTGCTGTCTCTCTCTGTTAAATAAATAAAGTTAAGATCTTACTAAAGGAAAATAAGCTATACTCTTAATTATTTACAGCACAAAATTGTTTCAAAATGAAATTAAAGTAACACTTTACAAAAACAATATGACAAGATAAAAAGAAGAATGGAGCAACTCCTGGCTGACTCGGTAGAATATGTGACTCCATATCTCAGGGCTGTGAGTTCGACCCCAATGTTGGGTGTAGAGTTTACTTTAAAAAAGCTAAGGGAACTAAGGGGTAAAGTAAGACTACAAGATGTTAGTACAAAGATGGATACTATGGAATCCTGTATACTTGAAATGATTAGCTAATTCTTGTGTATATGTGTAATTGATCCCCAAAAGGCTGTCCACTTAAGAAACCCATGAATTGTAGTCATAGAAAGTTGTTGCTTAACGCAGTCTTGAGTCCCCATGATATACTGTGATGTGCAATCTAACTTAATCCAGGGATAAATTTTCATGGCATAATTTTCAGATTTCTACAAATATTGTTTCTTTGTAAATCTGAGAGGATACTCCCTTGATGCAGGAAGTGTAACTGGCATAATTTTACCGAGTTGGGGATAAAATTTACAGATTTGGGGAAAATGAGACTATCAAAAAGAGGACCTAGGGGCACCTGACTGGCTCAGTTGGTGGAGCGTGTGACTCTTGATCTCGGGATTGTCAGTTCAAGCCCCATGTTAGGCGTGGAGCCTATTTTTTAAAAAAACTGTATAAAAAGAGGGCCCAAGTAGACTATCATACTATCCCCTCAGAGGTGAGTATGGGTACAGGTGTCAAATTATGTAAAACAGTGGGGCCCTGTTCACTTTTTTTTTAGATTTTATTTGCCAGAAGGAGGGCAGGAACGGGGTGGGAAAGAAACAGGCTCTCCCCTGAGCCAGGAACCCACCACAGGGCTCCATCCTAGGATCCTGAGATCATGACCTGAGCTGAAGGCAGACGCTTAACTGACAGCCACCCAGGTGCCCCTCTGATCACTCTAAGCTTGAGGAAGTTCAAAGTGTGTATAAAGGAGAGAATAGGGTGTTTGTTGGAGATGGATGGTAGTGAAGTTTGCAGAATTTGAATGCACTTAATGCCACAGATGTGTGCACTCTTACAAATAGTAAATATGTGTAGTTTACTACACACAAAGACATAGTAAAAAATCAAACTCCCTAAAATAGAGATCCATACAGGGGCACCTGGGTGGCTCCGTCGTTAAGCGTCTGCCTTCAGCTCAGGTCATGATCCCGGGGTCCTGGAATCGAGCCCCGCATCGGGCTCCCTGCTCAGTGGGGAGCCTGCTTCTCCCTCTCCCACTCCCCCTGCTTGTGTTCCCTCTCACGCTCTCTCTCTCCCTGTCAATTAAATAAATAAAATCTTTAAAAGAAAAATAAAGATCCATACATATCTTATTTGGTATTATTTCTCTCTGGTGTATCCTGTCATTTGATAGTTACCAAGTGATTAGGTAACCAATGAAGTGACTTGCTTCATGACTTGCTGTATCGTTGGTGCCTAGAACAGTGCCTGGCATGGAGTAAATGCCCAATAAATGTTTGTACAAATGAATGAATGAATGGGGATAGTAACAGGAAAAAGATTGGTAGGGTCCATAAACTAAATTCCCAATCAGAAAATTCCATCAGGTTAAACTAAAAAGCTAAAATATAAAAGGAGTAACAGAAGGGGGGTATAGGATGAAAGTATATTCAATCATGCTGATCCTCTAAAAGGGTTAAGACTCACCTTTGTTATAAACCCCTCTAATAAAGGAAGAGTAGTGACAATATAACAATTATAAAAGGATTGGTGCTTAAGTCACCTTGAAAGTTCATTTATATGGAACACAGATCCCTGATGTCAGATAAGTGAAGCATTCTGATATTTACAAAATCAAGTGTAGAGAAGTCACAGTGGAAAATGTTTTTTTGAAAGAAAGACACTAACTTTGTTTTCTGAGTACTGTACATTAAAAATTATTTTCAAGGGGGCGCCTGGCTGGCTCATTTGGTAAAGCATGCAACTTTTGATCTCTGGTTTGTGAGTTTGAACCCCACATTGGGTGTAGAGATTACTTAAATAATCTTTTATTTTTTATTTTATTTTATTTTACAGATTTTATTTGAGAGAGAGAACAGGAGAGGGGGCAGGGTCCGAGGGAGAAGCAGGCTCCCTGCTCAGCAGGGAGCCCGATGTGGGACTCAATCCTGCTACTCCAGGATCATGACCTGAGCCAAAGGCAGACGCTTAACCAACTGAGCCACCCAGGTGCCCTTAAATAATCTTTTAAAAAATTATTTTCAGGGCGCCTGGGTGGCTCAGATGGTTGGGCGTCTGCCTTCGGCTCGGGTCATGATCCCAGTCTCCTGGGATCGAGTCCCGCATCGGTCTCCCTGCTAGGCGGGGAACCTGCTTCTCCCTCTGCCTCTGCTTCTCTCTCTCAATCTCATGAATAAATAAGTAAAAAAAAACATTTTAAGAAAAAATTATTTTCAGGGTGCCTGGCTGGCCCGTTGGGGGGAGATTGGATTTTTTTTTTTTTTTTTTTAGATTTTATTTACTTATTTGAGAGAGAGCACAAGCATGGGTGGGGAAGCGAGCAGGGGGAGGA